ATCCAAGTGTAAGAGAATGGATAATGCCAGATTTTACAACAACTACCGAAACAGATCGAATGATTGGTGCAGTTGTATTAATGGCTGCTATGAAAAATTATTTTGATTACATGTTTAGTTTGTGTTGCAATTTACCAAATGTAACATTATTGGGCGAAGTTGAGGATTGGGTTTCAATTAGAGAAAGAGCAAATAGATTATTGGAATTTGATACAAAGGAAAACTGTATGAAAAAATGGTCCAAACTATTATTCCCAGTTTTGGACAAATTTGTGGAATCTATTAAAGGAAATCCTGATAAGGAATGGTGGAATAGAGTTGCCCATCATTGTGGTGGTGGATCAGGTCCTTCCTATTTGTCTGGTTGGATAACTTCATTTTGCGTATTCTCAGATAAAGGTCATTGGGTGGGAGATCAAAAATCTGTGAATATTTGGGGGGAAACAACCACAATGGAATGGCCTATTATTGATCAAGATGTTATTCCAAGAGGGTATGTCAGTGTTCCAATTGTTGTCGATGATAACGGAACAATTTATGACACTGAAATGTTTGCTGGACATATGTCTACAGAGCTATTAGAAGATGGAAAGACTCTTAAACCAAGAGCTGATTGGGCACTCTTTGTTGCAAAGAAAATTTAAGTGAGCTTCAGTGTTTGAAACCTCCATTTCACCAGTTGACAAAAATAGAAAACCATAATAAAGTGAATATTGGAAATTAATTCAAGATAAGAGAGGTGTAAAATTGAAATGTAGATGAGGCATGTAGTGTAATTCAAACACCACGATCAGCTCATTTCTCTGAAGTGTTGGTGGCGTAACTCCACCCATGCCTTTTTACCTTTTCATCTTTATAGAACAAAAAAGCTTAGGATTATGCCATTAGAACAGAGGAGGTTCTTCCTGGTATCTCAATTACAAACAATTTATTATATTTTATCGGTTTTAATTAATGGACGAAAGTCTGTTTTTATAAAAGTTGAACCATTTCATCATTTAAAAAAAGTAAAAATGAATTCACCAGCTAACGCTAACACCTTACTCTTAAAAACCTCAGAGATGAGTAATTGGTCAACATCGGATCTGTGTTCGTTTTTTTGTGCCTCAAGAAAATGCAACGGTCCAGAATTAAGACATTGCAGTGCTTGGGTATTATTTCAAATAGGCTTTTCAGGCTACGAGTTATATGCAGCAATAGAAAGTGAGGATAATTCCGTGATAGAAAAATTGGTAACTACCTACGGACTCTCACAATATTTTCATTTAGAATTTATTAGAATAATTAGTTGGGCACGAAAATTAGACAAACATGGTTCCTATGAAATAGAACGAGTAGATTTTTCACAACGTATTGGTGCTACTTTTATTCATGACAAAAGGTCTATCTTTCAAATCTTTAAGGAATCTTTGGAGCTCTGGACTGAAAAGATTAAAGATGAATCAAGTAAGCAAAAAGCACTTTTGAAAGACTACTTTAAAAATGTTTTTCTACCAGATAGATTTGAAGCATTTAGACGAAATGATTATGCTGGATGGACAGGTCATTTTGATCCATTTAGGCATCCTGAAAATAAGGGTGATCATCTAAGAGAAGCTCTTTCAAGAAATTGTAAAGTGGGGAAGGGAGATCAGCTGTTCACCATTCTTCATTTAATTGATATTTCGACCAGTGGAAAAACCTTTTCGATTTTTAATCTTGCTCATACTTCCACTGAAGATGTTGACCGATTTTTTGTTATTTATCTTTATCCAAATACTAAATTATTTGATGCTTTAGTTCGTAGTTTACCTGAGGTTAGTGCAGAAGTTGCTGTTGGATTGTTTTGTTTGGCAAATCATATTTTACTCGACCTTTTGTTACACAATTATTCAAATCTTAATCCCTTACAGTTTTTCAAGTAAGTTTTCAAGAGTTAAGGCGATTTACAAATTATTAGATTTCTAAGGAATGGTGGAGATGGAGTGGTTGTGGATTTATTCGAACATTTACTCAAGATTATTGGAAACAATCCAAACTTTATAAAAATAATAGAAAATGAGAATATAGAATACAGTAAATGGTTTGAGAGTCAAAAGTTTAAGGTAGTTTTCGCCTTTGACGAGGCAAATAATTTAACATCACATGGAGTGGGTACTGTTCATATGAGCAATTCAGAAAAAGGAAATCTTTTCCACGCTGTCTTCAAAGTAATCTCCAGGTTCAATAATCCTGTGTTCCTTGGGACGACGTTTCAGATTTCAGCAATCCTCACTTCGGAAGAAGGAAGGTTTACCAAACAAATTGTTGGTGAAATGTATCCGTGGTGTTGCCACGACGTAAAAATTGTGCTCAAAGAGAAATTCAATTTTAATACCAGTCAACCTTTTCCACATTTGGATTCTCTGTGTTATTTACTTTCAGGATCCCCTGAGCATTTAACATCATTCCACAGACTTCTTTTAAATGATTTAAAATCTGAAAAAACAACTTTAAGCCAATCCATCAGAAATTGCTTATCAACAATTATTAGTAACAAGGAAGATAGCTCAAGGAAACGATTGGATAGAATATTTTCTAATGAAGAAACAAGGGAGGAAATCAAAGAAACTATTTTCAATTTGTTGTTTGGAGAAAAATACATTGTGCCTCAAGATTCACTTTTAAACAACATTGTTGGAAAGGCATTCATCGAGACAGCCTTTGCACATGTGGTTCAGGTTGGTAAAAAGGAGCTTCACTTTGATATTGTTGACCCAATTTCCTTTTCAGTATATTATCAAACGATGTTTAAGAATTATAGAGGTCAATTGTGGAATCATCTCAGAAAGAATATCAAGAAACAACAGAAGGGAATTGTATTTGAATATTTTATGCATTTATTAATACTGAAGAAAGCGAAAAGT